TCCTCTATATCTTTGGTCCAGGTGGATGAAGAGGCCCCGCTGTGGGGTGCCTGATCAGTTCGGGGTACGTGTGAAAGCCAACCTGCGTCGGAGGAAGCGTTACACCCTGACGGGAAAGACATGGAACAGTCACCACCTAACCTTCAGGTATGGGTCCGGCAGAGAAGAGAGCTGCCCTGACCCTCTGTGGGGGAAGAGACTTAGAATTCCTTTCCCAGAAGGCGTCTGGCTAGCTGTGCTAAGGGTCTCAGCTCATAGTCTAGGAAGCCTCCCTCCAGGGAAGGCTGGTCTCTTTCAAGCATCTTCTTCTGGGTCCTTTCCTGGCCCCAGCTAGCAGCAGGCTAGACTGCTCTAATATGGCCAGATGGACTCTTTGAGTCAGTGCGGTCAGTAGGTGTGGGGGTCAAGTGTTCTGCTTTCACTCAGGCCTCGGAACCTAGAGTGAATTTGGTCTACCTAGTCAGATCCCCCTTTGAAGTTGATGGACAGCCATCTGCACCAGCAGCTAGGTGTAACCCACAGGGAGGGTGTGGGCTTTGTGCTTCATCGTGTACAGGCTCTGGGCCAGTGGTTGCCAACATGTGGGTTGGACCCCTTTGGGGATTGAATGACCCTTTCACAGGAGTTGCATATCAGATATCAGATATTTTCATTATGATTCATAACAGTAGTAAAGTTGGTACAGTTATGAAGTAGCAATGAGTAATTTTATGGTCAGAGGATTACCACAACATGAGGAAATGTATTAAAGGGTCACAGCTTTAGGAAGGTTGAGAATCACTGCCCTAGGCTATATATCCTTCATGCAGATATGAAGGATATCAGGGTCTTCATCCCTAATCCTCTCAAGGAACCCACAAGGAAGGTTTTACTCCCTCCCTTTTTGCTATCTTTCGAATGAAGAAACTGAAGCTGTCTAGTCAAATGTCCAAGGGCACACAGCTAAAGCGTCTGCCTGGCCCTGGGGTCAACATTCAGAGTGGCAGAGTGGCTTGGCCTGTTTCCCAGACCTCATCTACCCCCATCCCACAAAGCACCTGCATTTTCATTTACTTACTGTTTTTACTGTTGTTTGGGGATTTGGAGTTTGAAGTTTTTTATTTATTAAGACAAGGTCAAGTTCTCATTTTATAACAAGGATGCCCTTAAGCTTGGTGTGTAGCTGAAGTTAACCTTGAACTCCCCATTCTCCTATGTCCACTTCCAAGTGGTGGGATTGCATACACTACCATGCCAGGTCCTTAATTTTTCTTTTTTCCTTTATTTCTTTCTCTCTCTCTCTCTCTGTCTCTCTCTCTCTCTCTCTCTCTCTCTCTCTCTCTCTCTCTCTTTCTTTTTGGCTTTTTGAGACAGTGTTATGTTACCCCTGACTGTCCTGGAACTCACTCTGTAGACTAGGCTAGCCTTGAACTCAGAGAGCCACTTGCCCCTATCTCCCACATGCTGGGATTAAAGGCATGCACCACCCCCTTCCCCCAGCATTACTGGCTTTCTTAATTTAAATCTCTGCTTGTCTTCTACCATGAAAACATAGGGTCATATTTTAATGAATTACTGGGTGTGACAAGTTCTGACAGTGGATAGTGTGGCAGCTTTATGTGCTCTTAGGAAGGTGGCTGCAATGGACAGTATCCCACAGGGCCCTATCCATTCTTATCTCCCTGTCCACCTGCAGCATCCAGAACTACACAGAGAAACTGGGCTGGCACAACTCGATGGAGGCTGTGCGCAGGGCTTTCCGTGTGTGGGAGCAGGTCACGCCCCTGGTCTTCCGGGAAGTATCCTATGATGACATTAGGCTTCGGAGGCGAGAGGAGGCTGACATCATGGTACTCTTTGCCTCTGGTTTCCATGGCGACAGCTCACCGTTTGATGGTGTGGGTGGCTTTCTGGCCCACGCTTATTTCCCCGGCCCTGGTCTGGGTGGGGACACCCATTTCGACGCAGATGAGCCCTGGACCTTCTCCAGCACTGACCTGCATGGTGAGGACAGCTGGCCAGGGTGGGGACAGACAAGGTAGTGCTAGGCCACCCCTCCAGCCCAGTGGCTTCAGGCTCGGGAGGGGAGAATGCCCCCTACTCATGTCTCTGCAGCCCTGTACTTAGTCTCAATCTGTTGTTGCACCAAAGGAAGGCAAGAAGAGAAAGATGTGTTGGGCCCACTTCTCAGATGGCGAAATTAGAGGCCAGAAGTCAGAGCAGCTCAGCTCCATCCAAAAGAGAAGCAAGAGTAGGGTCCATGGCAGCCCAGTGGGCCTAGGATGAACCAGAGTGACCATTCATGCCCCCGCTACAGGAATCAGCCTCTTTCTGGTGGCAGTGCATGAGCTGGGCCATGCACTGGGGCTGGAGCACTCGAGCAACCCCAGTGCCATCATGGCACCATTCTACCAATGGATGGACACCGACAACTTCCAGCTGCCTGAGGACGACCTTCGGGGCATCCAGCAGCTGTATGGTGAGTAAGCTATAACCAGTTGGTCCTGTACTCTGCCCCCATTCTATAGACAAGAAAACTGAGGCCCAATCACTTAGCCAGAGCCCACACTGTAGATCCAAACTGGAGCTACAAAAGGATGCAGCTGGTCTACCCTATTTCCCTCCTATGCTTGGAAGTATTGCTACTAGACTAAGGGTGTCCCAGTGTTCCCAGGACCCCATAGTCTGAGTCTGTCCCCAGCACTCTCCAGACTTCCCAGGGGATTTGAGACAGCCACCTACCCAGCCCAGACTCCACCCAGCAAATCTACAATAGCCAGGTCTCCCTAAGGCCAACTCTTCTGGTTAGGACCTTTGCCTCCATATCCACACTGAACCCTCCTCCAGTGGCGCCTAACAGATACCTCGTCTTCCATCCCCAGGAACTCAGTAATGAGGGGGCATCAGGTAGAGTTCAAGTTGATATAGCCTAGGCCAGAGCTGTACTGATGACTCTGCTGGTGCCTTACTTCCTAGGGCCCCACTGAGTAGACCAGCACTGTAAGGGGAATGTCCTCAAGGCAAGCAGAGGCGTTAGCCTCCCACCCAACAGAGAGGTTAAGAAAAGGGTCATGTGGAGGAAGCCACCCTCCCCATGCACCAGGGATGGTGATGGGGTAGCCCAGGTCCCCCAGGCCTGCTGTGGGTAGACAGGACCTGTACCTGGAGTGGGTGCACACAGGACTTTAGCAGTGTGTGTTGGGGAACCTGACATCCAGGCTGGTTCCGGGTCTGCTCTCACATCTTGATCCTCACCTCTCTGTAGGCTCCCCAGATGGTAAGCCACAGCCCACCCGGCCTCTCCCCACTCTCAGGCCCCGACAGCCAGGACGGCCAGACCACCAGCCCCCTCGGCCTCCCCGGCCACCATATCCAGGTGGGAAGCCAGAGAGGCCCCCCAAGCCAGGGCCCCCACCCCAGCCCCGAGCCACAGAGAGGCCTGACCAGTATGGCCCCAACATCTGCGATGGCAACTTCGACACAGTGGCTGTGCTTCGTGGAGAGATGTTTGTGTTCAAGGTCTGGCCCTATCCTCCCGGTGCCTCCTCCAGCCGACCCAGAGCCTGGTCCTGCCCCACCCTCACAGCACCTCTCTAAGCCCACCAGCTCCTTGCCTGGCTCCTCCCTTGCTAACATCTCATGGGTACCTACTACCAAACCCTAGACCAGGAAGAAGCCAACCCAAGAAAACAAGGGACTTGTCAAGGGCTCCACAGTAATCAGGTGCCTGCTCCTCAGCCCAGAGCTCCCTCCTTGGAGCTGCTTTGGCCCTGCATGTACTGCCAGGCTCCTCAGGGCCTGATGGCCTCTCTGATAGATCATCCCTGACCCGGGGAGAGCAGTGTAAGCATAGCTCCCACCCTTAGCCAGAGTGTCTTACATGTGCTGCCTATCAATACCCACCCCTTTCCACAGGGCCGTTGGTTCTGGAGAGTCCGGCACAACCGGGTTCTGGACAACTACCCCATGCCAATTGGCCACTTCTGGCGTGGTCTGCCAGGGAACATCAGTGCTGCCTACGAGCGCCAGGATGGACATTTTGTCTTTTTCAAAGGTAAGCCAGGATGTTAAGGGGCAGCCCTATTGCTTCATGCCCTATTGCTAGCTAGAAAAGAGTTCTGCAAGTCCAGTCCCCATTGTGGACTTGCTCAGCACCTGTGGGCAGCACTGTGTGAGTGGAAAGGTAGACAGAGGCCATGGGATTAGTCCAGGCTAATCCCAGAGTAAGGATGCCTGGATTAAGGATATATCTCTGCCATCTTCTGCAGCCTAAGAGCCCCGCCTCACTGTCCCCACCTCTTGTCCCCATTGCCTCTTGTTCTCCCAAGAACGAGTCCCCATAAGAGCAGACTATCCTCTTTAAGAACAGATCACCATTGGAAATGGCTGGAGAGATGGCTCAGAGGTTAAGAGCATTGGCTGTTCTTCTAGAGGTCCTGAGTTCAATTCCCAGCAAACACACGGTGACTTACAGCCATCTGTAATGAGATGTGATGCCTTTTCCTGGCCTGCAGGCAGGCATGCAGATAGAACACTATATACATAATGAATAGATCTTCATTTTTAAAAAAAGAACAGCCAGGCGGTGGTGGCGCACGCCTTTAATCCCAGCACTTGGGAGGCAGAGGCAGGCGGATCTCTGTGAGTTCGAGACCAGCCTGGTCTACAAGAGCTAGTTCCAGGGCAGCCTCCAAAGCCACAGAGAAACCCTGTCTCGAAAAACCAAAAAAAGAAGAAGGAGAAGGAGAAGGAGAAGGAGAAGGAGAAGGAGAAGGAGAAGGAGAAGAAGAAGAAGAAGAAGAAGAAGAAGAAGAAGAAGAAGAAGAAGAAGAAGAAGAAGAAGAAGAAAAGAACAAATTCCCATGGAACTGGAGAGATGGCTCAGAGGTTAAGAGCACTGCCTGCTCTTCCAGAGGTCCTGAGTTCAATTCCCAGCACCCGCATGGCAGGCCATACCTCTCTAAAACTCCAGTTCCAGGAGATCCAGTACCCTCACACATGTAGGCAAAAACACAAATGCATATAAAATAAAAATAAGTAAATTATTGCTTGAGGGGGCAGTGTACAACTTTAATACCGGCACTTGAAAAACAGGCAGACAGATCTCTGTGAGTTCAAGGTCAACCTGGTCTACAGAGCAAATTCCAGGACAGCCAGGACTGTTACACAGAGAAACCCTGTCTTGAAAAACCAAAAGAAAGAATAGAACAGAACAGATCTCCAAACCCACTTGGCCAGGATCTCTGCAGTCTGTCTGCAAAGAAAAAGCCCCGGGGAGACAGTACCCTTTGACACATCAGCTGTAACTCTGGCCCCACAGGCAGGAACCCTCTGAGTACAGGACTGGATTCATACTGAAGTGAGGAGTTCCAGACCTGGTACCATAAGGGCCACTTAAGTATCCCAGGGACATAGCTCCCAGGCCTAGAGGAGGTGTCCTGTGGAATGAAGGGCCATATATAGTGTATGGGTAGCCTAGGAGGGAGCAGCTGACTGGTACAGAGATGTATCGCATAGTTTTCCATGAGCATACGTGTGTTTCTGTGTATACATGTGTTGGGATGAGAAGTGATGGTGTGAATGGATTGTGGACTCAGCAGAGCATTGCCTCTGTCATCTCTATCCCCAACCCAGGCCCATCCTCACATAACCCACTGCTCCCCATGCAGGTAACCGCTACTGGCTTTTCCGAGAAGCCAATCTGGAGCCTGGCTACCCACAGCCACTGACCAGCTATGGTACAGACATCCCCTATGACCGCATCGACACAGCCATCTGGTGGGAGCCCACAGGTCACACCTTCTTCTTTCAAGCAGACAGGTAAACATTTTGCTATGCCCCTTTCCCCTAAAGGAGGAGGTTCTAGCCAGGCCCCCTCATCCTCAGATCTGCCCAAAGAGAGCTGACAGGGCAAAGGACCAAGGCCCAAGCAGGGCACCAGATTCATAGCCTGAAACTTCTGGTTACAGATACTGGCGCTTCAATGAGGAGACACAACATGGAGACCCTGGCTACCCCAAACCCATCAGTGTCTGGCAGGGGATCCCTGCCTCTCCCAAAGGGGCCTTTCTCAGCAACGATGCAGGTACCAGACCAGCCCCTCCCAGAGGACCCAGCACTTGCCCAAGGTCCCATGACATTGTGATAGTATGGAAAGAGAACTCAGCTGTGTCATGTTGCAGCCTGGGGCCCTCTCCAGCATGACATCCTGCCTTCCCTGCATCATTACTGCCTCTTTTGATGGAGCTCCAGCCCCACAGCTGGAGAGACCCACATCTAGATGTCTTCCATGCCTGTGTATGTCCAGAGCTAATGCTCAGGAACTCAAAACCTGAGGGCCATAGTCCTGGTTCAGTGTTGGAGCAGGGTCCTCTCCAGGTAGTTCTCACAGGCCGGCCAAAGAAGCCTACTATCTATCTGTCATTGTAACTGAATGACAGGAGTTGTGACTGTTAGTTCTCCAGCAGGGTGTGTCTGATTCTTTACCTGGGACACTCATGTTCAGGGCAGATTTGCCAGCTTTGCCAGTGCTCAGCCTGATCACCTGAATCTGTGGGCATCACTGCAGCCACTCTGAGCTCACATTGCTCAATAAAACTCAGATGTGCCCCTTGCTTCAAACCTGGCCCTTCTTGCTATCAATGGGATACATACAAGGTACTCAGGAGCTAGTCTAGGGCAGCACTGGGTTTCACCCCAGGTCTATGAAGGCCAAGGCCACATAGTCACGCTGGCTCTTACGGTTGGGAATAAAGCCAATCCTGGGATGAATATCAGGGCTCCTTGATACCCAGATTCTGGTAGGCTATGGGCCCCTTCTGTGCCCTGTCAGGGCAGCAGATTTGAGAAGACTCAGGCAAGCAAGTAGGGAAAGATATTTTTTGTTTGTTTTCTGGTTTGGTTTTGGTGCTGGGAAACCACTTTACATGTTCCACAAGTGCTCTACCACCAAGTTACATACCTTCCCCAGGCTGAAGCCATCCTGCCTGTCTGTTCCCATAGCCTACACCTACTTCTACAAGGGCACCAAATACTGGAAATTCAACAATGAGCGCCTGAGGATGGAACCCGGCCACCCTAAATCCATCCTGCGGGACTTCATGGGCTGCCAGGAGCATGTGGAGCCCCGACCACGATGGCCCGATGTGGCTCGTCCACCCTTCAACCCCAATGGGGGTGCAGAGCCTGAGGCAGATGGTGACAGCAAGGAAGAGGATGTCGGTGACAAGGACGAAGGCAGCCGAGTGGTAGTGCAGATGGAGGAGGTGGTTCGGACAGTGAACGTGGTGATGGTGCTGGTCCCCTTGCTGTTGCTACTCTGCATACTGGGCCTGGCCTTTGCCCTGGTGCAGATGCAGCGCAAGGGCGCACCCCGAATGCTGCTCTACTGCAAGCGCTCCCTGCAGGAGTGGGTGTGATCACATACCACCCCCAGCACCCGGTGCTCAGGTCCGCAGGGGCAGGCATGTGTGGCTCCCAGATACTTTCTCAGCCCAGCGGGGTCCCCTCCTAGCCACACACATCCCTTGTCAGTCCTGCCCCTACCCTCTTTTATTTATGCCAGGGGTGTCTTTTTCTTTGGCACCTTCTCTCAGCGTTTGTTTCTGCTTTCCTGACTGGGGCCAGGTGAGGCTTGGAGTTCTCTGAGTGTACTGCTCCAGACAGGGACTAAGGGACAGAGGCTTACCTCTGGAAGGTGGCAGAGGGCTGGGAAGCTTCTTCAGCTCTGGCTCTCCTCAGCCTGAGCCTCTCCTCCCATGACAAGAGCTGTGTTTGCCTTGAAGGAGCCCAACTGGGGCTCTACCCTCCTGAATTTGCCTTAGGAAGAGCATATGGCCCAGGGGCCATCCTGATTACCTTGCTGCTTGGCTCCTTCTTAGGCTACTTCTGAGAGCCCAGAAGCCTGAAAGCCTTCCCTCATCCTGGCCATCAGCAGCTCCCACATGTCCCTAGGCCTGCAGCTCCTTTCTGCCAGGAATGGGCCCTGGACCTGTCTCACCAAGGACCAAAGGGAGCCTGCTGAGCTCCCCTCCCAATGCTAGTGACTAGCCTCTCCTCCCCTAGGCTTCTCACATTGTCTTTCATCACCCCCCCACAAGTCTCAGGATGCTGAGTGCTCCCTCACCCTCTGGCTTCTGCTGTCCCATCCCATCTCTTGGAGAGATGGGGCTGGCGGACACACAGAATAGGGTACCAGAGGTCCCCAAACAGTGCCTAATGGTATGGGTGCCCAGGATGTCATAGACCAGACTTGTTGGCCTCCTCCCCTCCAGATCTCTCTCCCCACATGACACTACTAGGCACAGCCCAGCAACTCACCCCTCACCCCACACAGACTGTAAACCCCCCAAAGGAGTCCACTATGGCCTGGGAAGTCTGTCCTAAGGGTGAAAGGGGGCCTCCCTTCCTCTTCCCGTTCTGAAGTCAGCAGGAGGCTTCTGTGGGAAATGGTACTGTACAGCTGGCTCTGGTCCCCTCTGCCTCCCTAAAGCCTTGAGAAGTGAAGGGCTGCCACCACCCAGCATCCTCTGGGCCACCACCTCTCTCAGATTGGTGGATTCTCATAGCCTGGCACTGGAGGTGGGGGGTGTCCAGCAACACTCTCTAGACATCACCTCTGCAGAACCTGAGAGCCAGCAAGGGGTGGGGACAGCATCCACCCCCATCGTTTAGTTCTGTTAAATAATCTGCACTGATTAAATGTACAGCCGGCGAGTGTGGCTGAGTTTGTAAGCCTAGACTGTAGCATATAGCAAGGAAGACCTGCTTGGCAGGATTGGGGCCAAGCTGGGATGCTGAAGAAGACCCCAATTCCAATTTGGTAGGATCTTTGGGATGGAGTCTGGAAAGATCAGGGTTTAGAAGAGCATGGGGCTGCAGGGTTTTGGTGCTGATAAAAGAGGACAGCCCAGTTTCCCATATACTCCACATCCAGGAGGGGTAGGAAGAGTCAGGCAAGTTCACCCGGTCACTCACCACTGGGTTTTGGGCAGCCTGGGAGGTGGCTTGAACAAGAGTTCAGGGGTGAACCTGGAGAGAGTTGGGTAATGGGACCACTTTGCCACCAAAAACTTTCAATGTTCAGAGAATGAAGCACACTAGGACCTGCTGTCATTGCTGGGGCAGAAAACCCCACCACAAGCCCCAAGATGGCAGGGTGCAGTAGACCTGGGCATGCCTGATGAACCGGGGTCCACCTGAGATCCTGCGTCCATGTTCAACCCTAAACCAAGTCAGGGCCTCACTTCCATCACCCAGCAGGCTGGGCTACCACAGAAAGGTCCCTCAATACCATTCCCTATTCCAACCCTCCACCCCCACCCCTGCTCCACCCCTTCCTCTCTTTGTATAGGAATGGCTGATTAGAGTTGGAAGGGCTGGCCCTCAAAGCCCAGAGCTTCTGGCTCATCCAGGAAGCACCACTGAGCTCAGTACAGGGGACACACAGCAGCAGCAGGAGGAACCAGGGAGGAGCCATCTTGGCTTTCCTGTATAGCAGCCCAAGCCTGGAGACCCCAGCCTAGGCTCCCTCTGCTTGTGATCATAAGACAGAGGTCAGGTGGGAAGCAGTGTGGGGCCCAAAGGTGAGCAAGGCCCTGCTCTTGTACCCTTCCTTGCTTTTCCTTAGAGCCAAGGCCAGAGGAAAGACTTGACAAAGGCCTAGGCTCCTCAAGAAACTGCCTGGTGAGCCACCATCTGTGCTCTGCTACAACCCAAGAAATCAGAGGCTCCCTACTCATTCTCTCAACATCCCTTTTCCTTGACATTTTACTAATTCTCAAGTATTTAAAAAAAAAAATTCAAGAAGATACATGAGTCACTATAATCCCCAGCCACGTGTTTTCAATCTTGTCTATGCCACTAGAACTGCAGCCTCAGGTGCCCAGGGCTCCCCGGTGCCCCGAAGTCCAGGCTACAGAGGGGGAGCATGCCCTGACTCAGATTCCGTGAAAGAAGAAAGGGTGTCAGGAGACTGGTCATGTCTTCGTGTGATTATGACCCTGGACAAGCAGCATGCACCTTCTCACAACTTATTCAGGAGGAAGTGGCGGGGGAGGGGGGTATCAGAGGGGAAGTGACTTGGCCAAGGCCACACAGCTAAGAAGTCACCATGTTAGGATCAGACCTAGGCAGACCAATTTGGCAAACCCCCACCCCACCTCTCCCACCTGATGCTGATAAGGAATGAGACAGGGACGGGGCACCCACCCACCCCCAGCCTTCATTCTATGCATCCAAGATTCCAGGGCCTAGGACAGAGCCTCCTTTCAGGCTTGGGTTGGACTGAGCAAGCCTGGCCACTTCCTCTCCTCCACTTGGCAGAAAAGCCTTTTTGTTGTGGTGCACACAGAGGCCATTCTCTGGCGCAGAAGGAATGACAGGCTTCCTGTCCACCCAGGGCTCTGCAGTCCCCTCTGTGTAGGTCTGAGAGAAAGCGGGGCTTTCTGCGCAGGCATCCTCCAGTTCTGCCACCAGAGCCCTGGATCACAGGCTTTGTGTCCCCACCAAAAAAACTGTGAAGGGTGGTGAGCAGTTCTCCAACAGATGTTATAAAGCCTGGATGTTCCAGGCATCAGGACAGTCAGGGTCCAGCCACCTCAGCCCACCCCTCATGTCCCATAAAATAACTGACCCCAGGTAGGTTACTTATTGCATCCCAGATGTCTGAGGTTTTGCCCAAGCTGTTCCCTCCCTGAGAAAATCCCTATCCATCCATTTCATCCAGTCTGAATTGTGCATCTTCAAAACTCAGATTATGTCTCTTGCCTGTGCTGGATTTCTACCCTCCACCCTTAAGGCAGCTGAGTGTGCTCCCACTTCTGGCTAAAGTAGCTCTTAGTCTTATTCCTTGGCCTGCCCATGATTTCAGGCACCCAGATGCTGAGCATGCCTCCATAACTTTGAAGCTGTGCGTCCTTTGGCAGGTCACTTCACCTCTCTGAGCCCAAAGTCCTAGTCTGTAGTATGGCACCAACAACTATGTCTAATTCAAACAGGCATGAGACTTGACAGTCAGTACTAGGAAAAATGAGGCTCTCTGTGGTTTGTGATGAATACCCCCTACTGGGAATGCTGGTATGGGGGTGGGGGTAGGCACTGCACAGTGTGGCTTCTCTGCTGCCTCTCCAGGAGTGTTTATGGGGTGGGGTCAAAGGTCAGAGGAGCCTGAGGACAGGTGCCTGGGAGGAGGGACATTCTGGTCCCATGGCTCCCTCCCAGCTGTCAAGCCCTTCTCTTGCCCCACCCCATTACTGGAGCAGCTTCCCGAGTGCTGGACTCCAGCCTTAGCTCAGGTTTCTTCCCTGAGTGCCCAACACCTCCCACACCCACGTGTCTCCCCATTTCAGGCTTCCAGAAATAGCCTCCACTCTCCCATTTTTAAGCCAGCACCCAGGCTCCTCCTGGACATCCGGTGTCATCCACGCCCAGCATACCACAGCAACAGGCTGGATTCACTAAGGAATTATTCCTCATCTCCAGACAGAGGGGCTGTGGTACAAAACCCATCCAACAGGGTCCGAAAAACCTGTGGTCCCCAGACACTCAGGCGCTTTGGCCACTGGGGATACTGAGCCCTAGAGGGAAGGTTGACTGGGCCATGACTCCCCCGGTACACACACGAGGTTTGATTTGTGTTGTGTTTAAGGTAGTCTTGCCTATGTAACTCAGTCTTGTCTCAAACTTGCAATCCTTTTAGCACCACCCCCTACCCAAGTGCTGGGATGGCAGGTCTCCAGACCCTGACCCCTTGCTGATCTTTTAAATTATTTTTATTTTTATTTTGGATGTGCATGCCTGAGGCCTCCACACATACACGGAGACCAGAGGAGGATTTTGAGTGTCTTCCTCTACCCTTCACCTTATTCCTTAGTCTGTGGCTGAACTAAAAGGCATTGCAGCTAGGTGAGATCCCAGCAGTCTGCCTCTGCTGTTCCTTGGCCTCTCCATGCACACACTGGAGCTGTGGGTGGGCACACACAGCCACACCTGGGTTTTCATGTGGTTGCTGTGGATTTGAACTCTGGTCCCTGTGTCTGGACAGCAAGCAACCACTCTTACCTACTGAGCCATCTCCCAGACCCTTGCTGATCTTTGAACAGGGTCTTCTGCTCTCTAAACAGGACTTTGCCCATGCAGGGTTTCTCTGAAGAACTTAGGCCCATGCACTGGGAATCTAGCTTTCTAGTTGAAGGACACTTCTGTGTCTGGAGAGCAAACACAGCTCCTAAGCTAGGGGACAGAGGAACACTGCTAGCAGTCCCTCGCTCTAGCAATAGCTCCTCGATGTCTAGAACAATCCCCCCCTCCCTCTCCAGGCAGAGGTGCCCAGTTTTGCTGTCCTGATGTCCCTGCCATCACCTTATCTTTGGTTCAAGCTATCTAGAGTGAGTCTAAACCCTGACACAGTTACAAAGAGCCTGAGCTTCCCAGAGCCCCAACACCTTGTATTGTCTCTTTTCACACACACCTCCAAATTGCCCTTGCAGGCCACCCCGAGAAGGCTTATGGGTCTTAGATGGTCCCCAGTGAGATGGGAGTATTGGACTCTTCCAAAGGACATGCTCTGGCCCTGAGGAGGAAGTCACCTGGCCAGTCAGCAGTTTGGGGCACTCAAGGCTACTCCAGCAGCCAGGCGAACTCCTGCCAGCTTCTGTCAGCACTGCCAACTGAGACCAGGCCAGGCCACCTTCCGAGGTCTTGCTCAGAGACAGCAAAGAAACCTGACAAGCGTGTTTTCACCAACCTGAGAGTTTCGGCCCCTCTGGAGGACTGTTTGTGTTTCGGGTCATGTTGTCGGCTAGCCCCACCCCCTCTTCCTGTGCCAAGTTGACATTCCCCAGGCCACCGGACCTCTAAGTAATGGTTCCTTCTCTGAGCTGCCCATGGGAATCTTCTGTTCCTGTTCCAGGTACGACCATGAGCTTTGTAACATTTCATCTGCCCCATGCAATCTGGCAAATGGGAGTGTTGCCTCCATTTAGACAGGCAGCTGAGGCCCAGCAAAGGGCAGCAATTTGCACAGTATCACACAGCAAATGAGGGCTGCAGTGACATGAAAACTGACCTCCACTCAGTAAAACCCTTGTCGAACTGGATGAAGATCAGGCCCTGCTAGCAACCTTCTCCCCGGTGCATTCATCCACCCTGCAAACACTCAAGTCTGGTGAGCATGGACTGCAGGAACTGCAGGCTAAGAAGGACTTCCAACCTAACTCAGCTCCTGTCTGCTTCTACAGTGCTCTGTTGCAGCTTGGCCACACCCCTCCGTATCCATTGTCTGTTGCTGTCTCTGCTACAAAGCAGAAAGAATTTAATAACAGTGACTGTGTGAGCCCCAGTCTGAAATATGTGCTGTCTGCCTCTTTCAAGAGGCTTGCCCAGGATGTACAAGGAGATGCGCTAGACACCTGCATTTGCAAGCCTTTTCATCAAGAAAAATAACATGCGCAATTTGAAAATCATGAACATATAACACACACACACACACACACACACACACACAAACACACACACACACCATCTTAGTCAGTGTTCTATTGCTGTGAAGAGACACCACAACTGTGGCAATCATAAAGGAAAACATTCAATTGGAGCTTGCACTTTCAGAGGTTTAGTACATTATCGTGGTGAGGAGTATGGCAGCAGGCAGGCAGACATGGTGCTGGAGACGGAGCTGAGAGTTCTGCATCCGGATCCACAGGCATC